ATATTTTCTAAAATGTATTCAGGGAGGTTTCCGATATTAATACAATCAATACAGCGCCGTCAAATTCCCGGCAGACGTCGGCTGGATTGTTCTAGACTAACGAATTGCGTTCGATACAGACTCTGGCAATCTGGGAAAATCGATCGGGGTCCTCTCACCCGGAGATTTCTGTCCAGTCTGAGTCTAAGGTGGTTCTCTTGAAAAATGTTTATCAGACGGACCAGTATGAATGGAACGAGTTTGAGGGATCGAAGTAAGGCAACCCGACTGATTCGTGATCTCTTGTCTGTTCGGCGTAGATGCAGCTATCCAGGAGACTCACTTTTCGAAGTTGATTCTCGTGTGCTGTCTAGCGACTTTGTGGTCTATTCAGCAAACTGGAATCGACAAGCCAGATGTGTTTCCTTGCTGGTTAAACGTACCCTTGGTGTGAAGTTCGATACTGTCCATGCCGATGCTGTTCATCGTGGACGTAATTTCACGAGATTCTAATAATCAAAATGCCATGAATAATGTAAAATTGTAACTCTTGTTGATTTCGACTTAACAGTGGAGTGGAGGATTGAAAAGCTGCCTTCCAAGACTACCTACATAGATGCGTTTAACAGAATGAGGGAGACTTTTGTAGAGTGTTCCACATTTTTCAGGAAAAAATGGTGACAGAGAAATAGTAAAGAATAAGCCACGAAACCTTCAAAAAAGGAAAATTACGTAGTTAAGAATTTGGAGTTTTAATTATTTCAGAGTAGTTACCATCAAAGTTACGAAAGTTTAATCGATACATTAATTCAACACATAGCTAGAGGAAGACGAATTAACTCATGTAGGAAGTTGTACTCCGTTCTAATAGCCGTGTTGCGCGTAGCCATTTTGCGCGTAGCCATTTTGCGCGTAGCCATTTTGCGCGTAGCCGTGGTATGCAAGCAGAGCGAAAGTCTGAAAGTTCGACATGTTTCCAACAGACACATTTCGCCTGCACGACTCTCCAACGCGAGTTACTGGTCCTCGTACGAGCAGCTGTCCGTAGCGAGCGTGTGATCGTCATCATGGCTATTGTACGCGTAGCAGTTACAGCTATAATTTCTTCAACCACGTGCACACAGTCTGACTGGTTTATTCGCTTTAACAGTTAGACGACAGAATGGCTTTGAAAAGTCACGGATACAAAATTGATTTTATCAATCGCATTCAACGGATATCAAAAATATAATGTGTCGATTTCTAATTTAAAATTCATTAAGGTATTTCTCACTTAAGCAAATATAATTTAATCAAACTATTTTTATTCGATATTTTACTTTTGAAAGGAGTAAATATTTGTACATCAAGTTCACTTTTGTGAACATTAAAATTATTCCGATATTTACCGTTTCTTATGGAAAACATTCATCGTGCGAAATCTTGAGACGATCTTACACAGATATGTGTAGTACTCATAAATTCTTCCGTATACTTTGCACCTCCTATGATTTTACTTTTTTCGGTAGATTTTTTTCGACTGTCGTTTAGGCTCTTCCGTAGATTTGTTTCTTTTGTCGTCTTAAGTTTTCAGCGGAATGTAGTTCTACTGTTGTTTGATGTTTTTTCTGTAAACTGTGGTCCTACTGTCGTCTGACATTTTTCAGTAGAATGTGGTTCTAATACTGTCTTACGTTTCTTCAGTCGACTGTGATTCTTCTGCCGTCTAACGTTCTTAAGTAGAATGTAGATCTAATGCCATCGTACATTCTCCAGCAGTCTCTGATTCTACTGTCATTATACGTTCTTCATTAGACAATTATTCTTCTGCCGTCTTCTATTTTTCAGTCGACTGTGGTTCTACTGTCATTTTATTTTTTTCAGTAAATTGTGGTTCTGCCGTCATCTGATGTTTTCAATTCCCTGTTATTCTACTATCAACTTACATTCTTCAGTAGATTCTGATTCTATTCTCGTCTTATATTCTTCAATAGATTCTGATTCTACTGCCGACTTCTATTTTTCAGTAGACTGTGGTTCTGCTGTCGTTTTATTTTTTCAGTAAATTGTGGTTAAATTGTCATTTTTTGCTTTTTCATTCCTGTTAAAATATACATATCAACATGAAATCATTCTTCTAGATTCTAGCAGATAAAACGTTCTTATATTCTTATTTAATTTCTTTTTACACTGGGCGACATATTAGATTTTGAAACAACGAAGACAAGAAAATGATTATATGAAATTAATAAGATTTAAAAAAGAATGTAAAAATGAAAAAACACAAGCAAAGTTGAAAAGTATATCTAAAGGATTAAAAAACTGTTTTTTTCGGCTTTTCTGCATTCATGCATCTAAAATATATATATATATATATAAATATATTTTATATATATAGATAAAACGTTCTATATTATATATATATTTAATATTATATTTATACATATGGGCGACATATTAGATTTTGAAACAACGAAGACAAGAAAATGATTATATGAAATTAATAAGATTTAAAAAAGAATGTAAAAATGAAAAAACACAAGCAAATTGATGAAAATGTCTTTTCTAAAGGATTAACAAAACATATATATAAAATATATATATAAGCAATTAAAATTAGTATATATATATATATAACACACACACACACACATATATATATATATATATATATATATATATATATTGTCAAATTCTGGCGATGCGTTTATTTCGTTTTGTTTTGTTTTGTTTGGTGCCCGGAAAATTCGGTAACGGAAGGTTCGGTCATGGACATCTCGTTAATTTTGACAAGGTAGAAAAATTCGGCAAGTATAAAATAAAAGTCGATTGCCCATTGATTTTAGGGCTGTTCTTTATTTATTGAAATAATATTTTGAAAAGAAGATACAAGAACTTAACTTAAATAAATCGATTATATTTGCTTGTAAACAACAGTGTATATTAATTAAATATATACTTATTTAAGAAATATTTATGTAAACATATTGGCAAGGGGTCTTAACCGCCTACTCACCCCCAATCCAGAAAGTACATTCCTGGTATTGTTACAGTAGAGATTTATCTGGACTGGAACCTATGACTTTTAGTTAATACTTAAACGTATGAGGGGTAAAACCTTCCAGAAATTATGCTCCTTGAATTGATACAGTAGGGTTTTATCTAGACCCCCATAGTTAGTAATACTTTACAAAATTATTGGAGAAGAGGATCTAACCCCCTACCTACCCATATCTCCTGCAAGCACTGCCATGATGTTCGTGTAGTGTGGTTTTTTTCTGTACCCTATGATTTTCAGTTATTTAAAAGTATAGGGGAGAAGGGGTTTGGCTCCCAAATCCACAATCCACAACAGGTCTAAAATCAATTTTCAATCGACTTTGATTTTATAGTTACTGAATACTACCATGCCAAAATTACTGATTTTATCCGCTACCGAATCTTCTGTTACCGAATTTTCCGTTACCAAATTAACGACATATCACCACATTATATCTCATTTAATGACAAAATTTAATTTTCTTGGGAGATTTAGTAATTTCTATATGGCTGCTATTTTTTTGCTATTAAAATGTTCCGATGGTATTTTTACTAAAAATATGTATTTTTATATTTTCATAATGCTTTAACCCCGGTTTTGGGGTTCGATTTATGTCCATAGTTGGAGCCCTAATAGGTGTTATCAGCTCACAACCTCAAAACCTTCAATCTCTACATCAGATTTATTGCTGCCAGATGCAGTTTATCGTCATACCCAGGATGATCGAACCGATAAGACTTTATGTTAAGACAAGTGTAAATTGTTGTGTCATCAGCAGATAATGAATATCGTATAATCAAGATGTTGACTTTTCCACACTACCTTAAACAAAGAGCTATAACAGTTAATGGGCTCTCATACTGTGACGTTTTTGTTTGTGGTTCACTGTTTTGCACACTCAGTTTCTCTATAGAGCTCAAATGGAACACATATATTCGGTTCATTGTTAACGTTTCTAGAAAAATTGCAGCATCCTTATATATATATATATATATATATATATATATATATATATATATATATATATATATATATATCCAGAAAAGACCTTACTACAATGCCATGCTATAAGCGAAAGTGATACTGCAGATATATCTCAACTGGTATTGCCCAACCCTCCCTTTTTCTACTCGAAAAATTAAAAAAAATAATTGTGGAGTTTTGGAGGTGATATAATATTTTTCAGCTTACAAACCATGCAACCTCACCAAGATTATCCTCAATCTTTCGCTATTCCCATGAGAAACCTTCTGTCAACCTATATTCTGAGTCCAAACATTTATAGTTTTGATATTTTATATCATGTACAAAGATACGAAGAATTCTCATGTCCTTGGTAATCCACTGAAAAGAAGGAATTTCCACTCAGCCGGCTTTTTTGCATTGACGCCAAGAGGTTGCTATTCTGACCAACATAATTTACTTACACTCATTTTGCGCCATCAGTGTAACATAAATACGAAAAACTTTTTCTACTAAACGACAATGAATGATTTGTGCTGTGTAAGTCTAAAGAGAGCGTAAGTGGGGATAAATCTCGATGTAATCACGTATCAATATTTGCCTGATATTTTCCAGCAAGTGCCTGCGTTTATTCTGGATAATAAATTCTAATCTTTCGAACTTTTAAAATCTGAATTCGATAAAGCATTCAACTGAACACGAATACAGGTTTACAGCTGGATACATGAAACTGTCTCAGCTACGCGGTTGAAACGAATATGAATGTGCATATCCATTTTCCTAGCAATGTTTTATGCCAATGTAAGGTTACATGAGCTTTTACTTTTTAACTTATAGATAAATATGAAAAAATATTATTCGCTAACGATAAATGGTTTCTTACCTACGTTCTGTTATTGTATACAATACACCATTTTCTGTTTTCTAAAAAACTGATGCAATCACACTGGCATGCAGGGAAATTTTTCTTAATCCATCTACTGAAGATAAAATGTTATTTGATTCTGTATGCATATTACTATAACATACTACAGGTTATTTATAAAAAAAAAGAAAAATTAAATTGGATTTTGTCATCTGATTCGATTTGTGCTGGATAAAAACTGAGCAACAAAGTAAGAAAGAGGAAGAAAGAAAGAAAGACGGATAGAAAGAAATTAAAAGAAAGGAAAAGAAGAAAAGAAAGAAAAAGGAAAAAATGAGAAAGAAAAAAGAAAGAAAGAAAACGAAAGAATGAAAGAAAGTAAGAGAGAGGAAGAAAGAAACAAAGACGGATAGAAAGAAAGTAAAAGAAAGGAAAAGAAGGAAAGAAAGAAAAAGGAAAAAAAGAGAACGAAAAAAGAAAGAAAGCAAACAAAAGAGTGAAAGAAAATTTTGCATACCCTTTCTATAGAAAGAAAGAAAGAACAAAGATGAAATCAAAAACGAAAGAAAGAGAAAGTAAAGAAAAAAATGAAAGAACGAAAAGTAAAAAAGAAAGAAAAAAGAAACAGGGTGAAAAAAGAAAGAAAAACAGTTATCTATAAACTTTCTATAGAAAGAAAGAAAGAAAATAAGAATGAAAGGAAAAGAAAAAAGGTAAGAAAATGTTTAATACACTTTCCATAGAAAAAACGAAGTTGAAAGAAAAAAGAATTGAAGTAAGAAAAAGAAAGAAAAGAAAAGTTAAATAAAACAGAATTAAAAAAGGGAAGAAATTTGTCTATGCATTTTATATAGAAACATTTTTTGTTCTGTTGAAACAAAGAAGTATGACTGAAGAAAAAGAAATACATTTTTCTGTACACTTTCTTTAGAAAGAAAGGAAAAGTAAAGAAAGAAAATAAAGTGAAAGAAAAAAAACGTAAGAAACAAGGCAATTCTATATACACTTTCGATAGATAAAGAAAAAAAAAGAAAGAAAGAAAAGAAAATGTTCAATAAACTTACTAGTGAAAGAAGGAAATAAGACATGAAAGAAAGAGAAAGACAATGAAAGAAAAAAAAACATTTTCTATGCACAACAATTAGGTTGGATATTTTTATTTATTTTTTCCACTGACGAATTCCAACTTATTTTAGTGACATTTTCTCTTCTATTTCATTCGTCTTCTTCTCATCTTAGACATTCCGCAGAGAGAATGATATAGTATTTATTTTCAATCAAAATATAAATTGAACTGGATTTTTTTAACAAATAAAATCCAAAATAAGAAGCATACAAGTCGGTTAGAATAACAGTAACAAGAATCTAAAAATCACAAAGAATCAAAGCTTTCATTTCAGTTTTGGGCATAGATTTTTCACGTTTTCTTTTCTCTTTTATAAAATATATTTTACCTTGGAAGGATTTGACATGTTTCAAATAGTCGGAAAATATAGGAAAAAGTACTCTTTTAGAAGGTCAAACTCATACTATATCTGCTAAATCCATTCCCTTTTTTAGCTGATACTTCCGCTACTACTACAAATCCTACTGCTGCTAATATTATTACTACTACTACTACTACTACTACTAATAATAATAATAATAATAATAATAGAAAATAAATTTTGGATTCAGTAAATAATTCAACGTAAATTCTCATTGGGGCCAGGTGAATCTTGGTTAAAATTGATCTTTCGGCCATCGAGAACAGACTCGCGTGAAAGGACTACCTGTAATGGAAAGAGCCGCATGAGGGAGAATTATACTTAAAGACCTATCACAGCTGCAATATATATATATATATATATATATATATATATATATATATATATATATATATATATATATCAGACATAGTAGACAAGTATGTAAGTTCCACGTTAAGCGAATGGACGCCAAAACAAGAAAGCTTCTCACTTTCCACAGCATGCATCGTCCCAGGGTGGATATTGATCGACTGTATATGCTCAGATCCGAAGGAGACAGAGGATTAGTTCAACTAGAATTGTCTTACAAAACTACTAAAAGGGTCTTCAATCATACCAGGAAACCACAGAAGATGGGATGATGATCTCTGTCAAAAAACATGAAAGAATTAAAACTTTATTCAGTAAAAAAAGGAAGCCAACAAGTTCAAAATGGAGTGAAGAAATTTCAGTTAAATATAATACATTAACGACAGCTGCAAAATGCTTAAGAAAGCAAAGGCAAATGCATTGTACCAAATGCATAAACGATGGCATGATAAACCACTTCACTGCCAATAGTCTATCAGTAGCAAATTAGCTGATGTAGACAAACCCTGTTTCCATCAATGGCCTCGTAGTGCAGGCTTAAAAGCTGAAACCAAACTTTTCATTCTTGCTGCACATGATCAATGCTTGCTAACTAGAAATTACCAAGCACTCATAGCAAAATGATGATTCTTTGATAAATGTCCAGAAAAAATTGACCATCTTGTACCTAGTTGTATATATTGGCACTCACTGAATATAAAACCCGGCATGACAGATTAGACCAATATCTGCATTGGAAAATATGCAACATTTACGGAAAGAAAACTGCAAGTAAATGATAGGATCAGCAACCAGAAGCGGTACAGAAAAGAAAATGTCAACAAATTGGTATGAACACCACCCAAACCCGTTTACGGAAATAGGACTTGTAGCAAATTTATGTGACTTTACAATAAACACAGACATAATAATCAAAGCTAGTTGCCCAGTAATTGTGATTAGAGACCGCAAAAACAATGTGGGCCTTTTTATTGATATGGCTGTCCCTGAAGAGTGTAATGTATCTTTGATGATCTTCACAAACTATTAAAATACAAGGACCTTGAAATCGAAATCTCAAAAATATGGAACATAAAGCCTCCAGTTATAGCTGTTCGCGACCTCGGACTGATTGGGAAAAAATCAATAGACTCACTGAAGAGATTCATGGTAGCCATGATGTACGCACCAGTACAGCCCACAACTTTCGAAGGACTTTATGTATAATATATATGATCATTTATTTCTTTATTTTTTTTAACAGATAGTGGAAAATATCATGATGCCATTTCAGACCTTAGGTCTCTGGTCGGGACTCAGAAAGAAATGAGTATACACCAGAAATTAAAGGAAATAATAACAACAACAACAACAGTAATAATAATAATAATAATAATAATAATAATAATAATAATAATAATAATAATTGAATCAATAGCTTCATCCACCGCCAGTAAAGATGGCGCCCTGTGTCGCGCCATAATTTTTTTTTTTCTCGCCTGGGTTCATCCTTCAAATCTATAAATCAACCATTCGCCCTTGCATGTAATACTGCTCTCATATCTAGGGCCCCCGCTCTTCGTCTTAAGGTCCTCTACAAAATCCAGAGACGTATATGCAATTTGATTGGTTCTGATCTGGCATCTCGTCTACAGTCACTTTCTCAGAGACGTGCTCTCGCTTCCCTTCGTCTTTTCTACAAATACTTTCACGTTAACTGCTCTGACGAGCTACTTTCCCCAGACTGTATTAATTTAAACGTGCAACTAGACTGTCATCTCCTTCCCACCCTTTCACTGTCAAAAAAAATTAAATGTAGCCGTCTTTTCTACTCCAATAGCGTCATATCTTGCACCACCCGTCTGTGGAATTCCCTTCCTATTACTTGTTTCCCTGATAGCTATAATCTCTAACTATTCAAATGTAATATCAATCGACCATTCCAGATGCCTTGATCTATTCCTTGTCCTTCTCTTCATCCTTTCCTCTATCGCTCCACTTTGCTCTCGGTCCCACTCTCTGTAACCCCTTGCGTGCTAGTGGCATCCCGCCCTGGTTAGGGTGAAATGTTTAAAAAATAATAATACTAATAGTAATATAATGTCTTCAGCTTTGATATCATTCCCTTGTAAGAATTTGCCAACCATGACTCTCCACACAATCATTTTGTCTTTTTTATTTTCAGTTTGCTTTACCATCCACTAGCTCAAAAGCTAAGTAGGCCATTGCCTGCTGACCCCACTTTTAATTACCGTGACTGTATCTTATGGGGTTTAAATTCTGCACTTTCCTCCTGAGGAGAATCAGGTGTTTTCGATATTTTTTGTTATTGATACAATCAATTTTCTTGCTGTTCCGATATATACCATAAAAATTCTCACATATCCAGTTCATATTATCATAAATCATTTGTCGTCAGAATCACATCTGTGCCGCCAGATGCCTTTTCTTCGCTGAGGAAATGTGCAACATTTACTGTCATATTGGTCTTTAGATATTACAAAGACGTTCATTTTTTGTAATAACAGAGGTCCATGTTCATCACTTAGATTACAGTGGTTTTTAGCCAGGAGAAATAAATTACATCCAATTTTCTATTCAAATAAACTATAAAAAAATAAACTACATCCTAATCCCTATTCAACATAAACAGTATTTGGATCTAGTATGGAGTAGGTCCTCCATTTACTAGTTTCAGTGCTTGTAGTCGATTTTTCATGGATTTGATCAAATTATCAACAATCATTTGAGCCATATTTTGCCACTCCTTTAGCGATGTTTCTTTAAGGGTTGCTATTGACGTAATTTTGGTAGCACGTTACGGTCAAGGTGCTCTCAAATGTTCTCTATTGGATTCATGTCATGTTTTGGGGCTACCCGTTGCAGTGACTTCATTCCTTGCGATTCCTTCCAGGCCTTTGTTACTTTGCTCGTATGACATGGCGCGTCATCTTTTTGAAAAAGGTAGACATTCTTTTCAATCTGATGTTACAGTTTTTTGTGTATATATGTATACGTGTAACTAGTGAGTTAGTCAAAATGACTTAATTCCCTTTATAGTCTACCAATAGAAGATTAACCAATCAGAAGCCGCAGAATATTATATCCGTCGTGTATAAAGGCGGCCATCCTTGTTTAACCTACCGGAATGACCAGTGCCAACTTGTCAGGCGAAGGTGACAGAAGGAAGAACTACGCTCTGCTATTTTGCTGCGATATCCACTGCGAACCTGAACTACGCTTTCCTACTGTCTCCGGAATATTCACTGCTAAACTCTGGATTCTATACTCGAAGACGACCGTCAAAATGTCTAACATCTTTTTGAAAAAGGTAGACATTCTTTTCAATCTGATTGGGTTCAAATATTGGGAGTAGTCCTATCTCTAATATTTGACAGTATTTTGGACCATTCAATCGCTCGTCACCAAGAATCACGTCAGATTTCCCTCCAAACAAGACAGCGCCTCACACCATTACTCCAATCCCTCCATGTTTCCCGGTCGTCTGCTGACATTCAGTGTTCCAAGTCTGATTCTGATTTCTCCAAACATAAACCAATCTCGAATTAGAATATTGCAAGAATTTACTTTCATCTGGCCAAATTTCAGACTGCCAAAATTCATAATCTTTGCTCTTGAATTCTCTCGCTCAGCCCATACGAATGTTTCTTTTAACCCCTGAAATCAAGAGTTTCTTTCTTGCAACACTTCTTTGATAGCCTTGATCTTTCAGAGTCTTTCTCACCGCGTATGGCCACATTTCCATGCTGTTGGCGACATCTTTCACGCTCTGACGACGGTTTCTGATGACTATCCAGTGAACTTTTCGTTCGCGCAGACACGATGCTTCCTCTTCCTGAACGTTGTCCACGCGACAATCGCCTTCTTCACTAAATATCTTTGCAATATTATTAATCGTTTGATGATTAACCTGGAAAAAAATCTAGGAATTTCTCTATTTCCTTCATCCTGTTATTTGCCCTTGTTGAAATTCACTAATTTCCTTACTTTCAGGAAATTTATTTGCAAGATATAAGTTAACTATTCTTCATAGATGAGAGTAGCTTGATACTAACACGATTTGTATGAAAAAAAGAAGTGACGTTATTAAACAAGCTAAAATTGCTGTAATCAAGGGTGGCTCAAAACTTATCATAGCCATTGTACACGCGGCTTCCCAATATAACTTATAATGACAATAAATCCTGGGGCTGTTCCAATCAAGCTCAGAGGTTGGGGGATTTGCTGGTAACATTTAATGACCCGTAAACAAAACTGCTGACGTTATATCGTCACCAAGTGGACTCTGCT